AATTGATCCATCTCATCCAGGGTCATCTTCTCCTGCACTGTCCCTCCAAACATGATGTCCCTCTCCAAGGACCTGTCCCTCCTTGCAACATGCCTAAAGTATGTCAGACAAAACTTCAGAATCCTTGACTCCAAGGAGCAACCCTGCTTCACCTTCTCCAGGACAAACCTGTTTGTTCTCCTAAGTAGTCCATGGTATATTCAACACTCTTCTCCAGCGCCACAGCTCAAAGGCATCAATTCTCTTTCTACCATCCCTAGTCACTGTCCAGCTCTCCGATGCATAGCACACAAATGTGAAGACTATAGCCCTGATGTGGCACACCTTAGTCTCCAGCCTGACATTGTTGCTCTTCAGTACTATGGAGAGGTCCCTGACTTGCAATTCATCTTCTGATTTCCTGTCTGCTGGTACCGAGAGTGTGACTGTGGAACCAAGCAAACTAAAACTATTAACTATCTCAATCTCTTCACCATCCATACTGATGCTGCCAATTGGCCCAATGGTGAGAATCTTTTTTTTCTTTTGATGTTGAGCTTTAATCTATATTGAAGGCTGCAGTCCTTGACCTTCTGCAGCAAGAGCTGCAGGTCCTCCTGAGTTTCAGCAAGCATAGTTGTGGAATCTGCATAATGTAGGTTGTTTGATGAATCTTCCACCAATCCTGATGCCACATTCCTCCTCGTACAGCCCAGCATTCCAGATGATCTGTTCTGCGTAGATTGAAAAGGTATGGAGACAGAATACATCCCTGGCGGATGCCCTTCTGAATTTTGAACCATGCAGTATCTCCTTACTCTGTTCTGACAATTGCCTCTTGGTCCAAGTATAGGTTTTGCATAAGAACAATCAAATGTTCTGGGATTCCCATTCTTCTCACAGTTAGCCACAGCTTGTTGTGATCCACATAGTCAAAAGCCTTTGCATAGTCAAGGAAGCTCTGATAGACATTCCTCTGGTACTCTCTGCTTTCTGCCAAGACCCATTTAACATTAGCTATAATACCCCTAGTACCACGACCTCTTCTAAACCCAGCCTGCACATCAGAGCAGAAAAAAGTGAAACAGAAAATCAACAGAAAGAATCAACAAGACTAGAAGTTGGTTCTTTGAAAGGGTAAATAAAATCATGTCACCAGCAAAAGTAGCATTAACGTATGAAAAGGTAAAGAGATGCAGATAACATGAAAAAGAAATTAAATGAGTGTCATTACAATAGAACAAATGGAAATAAAAAGGATTAACAGAATATCATGAAGAACTGTATGTTACTAAATTTGGAAACCTAAATGATAATGCGCGGATTTTTAAAAACTCACTATCTAAACTAATACAGACAGAGGTACAATATGTGAACAAAAAAAGAAACTGAACAGTTCATAAACACATTCCCAAACTAAAGTGTCCTTGCCTAGAAAGGTTTCAGTGAATTCCACCCTTCAAAGGACCTAACAATCAGTTCTAAACAAACTATTCCAGAGAATAAAAAAGATATGTAAATAGGGGAGCTCAGGTGGCCTAGTGGCAAGAAGCTGCAACTACAGTCCCAGAGGTGCACGGTTCGAATCCACCAGATACTCTGCTGGGGAAGGAGGGGCAATCTCCTCCTGTACCAGTCAGATCTGATTTGACGGTACACGCACACAAAAATAATAAAATAAAAAAAAAAATTTAAAAAAA